GTCAAGGTTGCTCCTGGCTGCAAACTCCTCTGCTGCCCCCAAATTTGCCCTTGGACCTTCTTACTAAAATCCTGAAAAGCTCCTACACCACCTTCCCTTCATCCACGAGGTGGGAGACAGTGCGGAAGGATCAAATCCATTAGGAAGTGGTCTTGCAGGGATTTTACAAGGATCAGATGTGGGGGCCTCATTCCATGCCTTGACGTTGGTGATCCCAAAATCCACATAATAGAAGCCAGCAAATTGTTTTTAGTCAGGGTTGCCTTTTCCCATGGAAAAGAGGGAAGTTTGATCCCATACCATCCCAGAGCATCAGTGGATGTGCATGATGGTCCTGCTGTAGCCTGGGATATCTGGTTGAGTGTCCTCTTCCTTCTGGGATTTGAGGGTAACAGTATGTTTTGCTGAATCTTCCCTTCCTGACCTGGAGCAAATCCCATGGCAAGGGATTCATCTTCATGTCGGAAAGGGTCTGCTTCCAGAAAATCCTTTGGCAGAGATTTTCAATTCTTTTTGGAGATGCTTTGGGTTCCAAGTGGGAGTTTTTTACCCCCTGTCAGGAGCTGGGACATGCCGGTGGCTCCTTCACTCATGTCCTAATAGTCCTTATCCCTTTTAATTTTTTCCCTCGTGCCTGTTTGGAAAGAGCAGTTTGGTTTTATCAGAGTTTTTTGGTCTCTGCTTTGCTTTTTTCCTTGGGGTGGTTCTGCTTCACTTTTTTCCTTGGGATAGTTCTGCTTCATCCCTTTGATCTCTGAGGTTTTCCCTGGCACTGGGGACAATCCTGGCTGTGAATCCAAGGTTCAGCTTCTGCTCCCCAATTTGCATTCGTCCCTGCTCCCGTCTCGCTTCCAAGTGCTGGAAGATCAATGTACCTGTCACTCACTGCTTCCCATCTCGCCTCCGATCGGGATTAATGGCACAGCTCGGCGCTGAGCCCCGATGGAGACACACGGGAGGGGTCCTGGTGGCAAAGGATTGACAATGGGCGACCTTGTGGTGCCCAGGTTATGACTTAATTTAATTCTTTTCCCCATGCCTGCCCCCATACAGGAAGCTTTTCTATCCCATATCCTGTTCCTAAAGCAGCAGTAATCTCTTGGATTTGGGAATGTCCGCTCCTGAAGTTCCGCTTGCTTATTTAACTTCCTTTTTCCCATTAGTGTCTGAACAGGATTTACTTTGCCATTATTGTAGTTTCCCTGATCCATCCTGAGCAGCATCATCTTCCTCTTGCCTCATGGATTTAGAATCACATAATCATGGAATAGTCATTAAGGAAAAGAGCTCTGAGATCATGAAGTCCAAATGTTAATTCAGCACTTCCAAGGCCACCACTAAATTCTGTCCCCGAGTGCCACATCAACACAGCTTTTTGGGACATGTTTCACTAGACCAGGTTGCTCCAAGCCCCATCCAATCCATGGATGGGGCAAGCACAACTTCTCTGGGCAACCTGTACCAGGGCTCCCCACCCTCACATAGAAGAGTTCCTTCCCAATATTCCATCTAACTCTACCCTCTGGCAGTGGGAAGCCATTCCCCCTTGTCCTGTCACTCCAGGACCTTGTCCAAAGTAATTTCTCACCTTTCTTTTAAGCCTCTTTTAAAAGCAGGTTTCTCCAGACTCTTCTCCAGGTGAAATATTCCAGGAGTGAACTCTTTTTGTGCCCTCCCTGCTTCAACTTCCCCAGGGGGCCAATTCCTGGTACTTCTCTCAGGAAAATAAGAGAAGAAATAAAGACCCTTGCATCCATCCCCTTTCCTAAGGGATGCATGTGTGGTGGCTCCTGGATCCTACCTGCGTGAAGCACCCTTGTGGGATAATTTGGCAACAAATTCACCATCTCAAGGTCAGCATTGGATAAGAGGAAACAGCTTTAAGTTGTACCTGGGGAAGTTTTGTTTGGATACGAGGAAAAATTTCTTCACTGAAGGGATTGCTTGAGCTGCCCAGGGAAGTGGTGGAATCATCATTCCTTGAGGGGTTTAAAAGCCTGTGTGGATGTGGCACTTGGGGACATGGTTTAGGGGTGGCCTTGGCAGCACTGGGTTGATGACCTTAGAGGTCTTTTCCAACCTTAACAATTCTACATTTAGAGTTTACACCAGGATTTTTTTTTCTTTTCCCTGGGAACAGGAGGCGTGAGTAGCGCCCGCGGGATTCGCGGCTCTGCAGAAAGCCCCGAGCTCAGCAGCGTGCGGCCCTGGCTGATAAATGATGCTCATATCCCATTCGAATATGATGCAAGCAGTTTTTTTGTAGTTTGTCTTCCATGGCGGTAGTAAAGTTTTTAATTAGGAAAGCTAATGAGATCGATTAGTCATTAGAAGTGACCTCTGGATCGCGGCGAGGAGTGGGGATGTGTGCGCCGGGCTGATAACGGGGGACGCTGGGGTATTGTTTGTAATAAAAGCGTGAAGTGTTTGATTTGAGTGAAATGTGCCACGGGGAATACATCACGCGGAGAGGAAAAAATTACAACCCTGGGAGCCTGTAATGAAGGGAATTAAACCAACATCCTGTCTAAATAACATGATTATCTACACAAAACCCCTCAGCTAGCAAGTAATAATAGAAAACGGAGCTCTTCGGAGAGGCTCTTTGAGGAGGTGGTTAATGCTGGAGTCGCGCATCAGGCACTTTCCAAGGAGCAGCTTCGGAATGAATACACCATCCAATTACCTCTGGGAATAGAGTTTACCAGGTGCCAGCCTGTTTTGGGGAAGGAGGAGGAGGAGGGGGATGCCTGCAATAATTTGGGATCTCTCTTTCTTGTCAGGCAGGAGTTTGATGCAATTCTGGGTTGATTGGTGGCAGCTCAAGCTTGTGTGGGGGGCAAAAAGATGTTAATTATGTATTCAGCAAATTCCCAGCTTAGTTATTCTGTGAGGTTGGAGTGGAGGAGGGAAAGGGGCAACTTGTGCTGTTGCTGGCTGGGGAGGATGTAGGATTGTGGCTCTCATCCCTTCCCCAGTGGGGTGGAAGTGATTTGGGTACGTGGTTGGTGCAGTATCCGTGCGAGGTTGGGTGTGTCCACATGTTCTGGGTGACAAAAGTGACAGAAGGTAGATTTAGGTGGGATACTAGGGAGAAATTCTTCCCTGCAAGTGTGGTGAGGCCCTGGCAGACATTACCCGGAGAAGCTGTGGCTGCTCCATCCCTGAATGTGTCCAAGATCAGGTTGGAAAGGATTTGGAGCAGTCTGGGGTAGTAAAAGATGTCCTTGCCCATGGCAGGGGGTTGAACTGGATGGTCTTTAAGGTCTTTTCCAACCCAAACCATTCCATGAGTCCATGATTTCAGGTCAGTCCCACCATTACCATAGCTGGGGTTTCATCATGTGTGTGGTGTTGGTCCCTGCAGGGGTTAGCACATCTGTTGTTTTGTTGTCCCCATTTTCCTGTCCTAAATGCAGTTCCCTGAAGGAAAAGACTCCAAGTTTGCTGGTACTTGGGAGCAATTTTAATTGTAATTGGAGCTTCAACTCTGCAAAGGCTTTAAAAGCCCACGCAGAGGTTTGGTCACTGCACAGAAGAATTTGATCTGCTACCAAAAAAATCTTGAGATAGGAAAAGAGCAGTGAGATCCCATTTGCTTTCCATGTTCTTTCCTCTCTCCTTTCTTGCCTCACCTCTAAAGTGACCTCTGAAGTGCCTCACCTCTAAAGTGGCTGCAGTTCCTCTAAGTCATTGAAACATCAGATGGTTTCTACTGGAAGAGAACTTGGAAGATCCTTTAGTTCCATGATTTATCCCATGGGTTCAGATTGCGGAATGTTGCAAGCATCATCTTTACCACAAAAAATTCCAGTGATTTTTCTGTCATGGCAGAGCCTGGTTTTTGCCTTTTTCCACCACCAGGGGTTATAACTTTTTTTTTCTGAATTTCTGAATGGAAATTTGTGTTGCCTGATCCCTCCCAAAGCCAACAGAAGTCATCAACTTGTTGGGAATGCTTGAGAAGGAAAATATTCCCTGTATGAAACTGTAAAGCTGTGAGTTGATGTTGCCACTGTTGCAGGGCAATGGGGGAGCTGTTCTCTCCTTTCTAGGAAATGGTGTCAGATCTAAAATGTATTTCGTTATTTTTCCTAGTTTACCTGGTAATCCACCTTATTTTTCCTCCTGTCATAGAGACAAACATGGGGTGGGTGGAATGTTTTCAGTGAAAATAATGCTCCCACTTTTCCCCTCCCAACCTCTCCATAATTTTAATGAGAGGATCTCCAAGAAAAACAGCCAGCCCTTTAAATCAGTTATAAAACCCAGAGACCGAGGCTCAGCATGGAGTGTCAGCTTTAATTATCTGGGCAGTTACAGCTGTATGTTATAAAAGTCGGGCAATTAGGTGCATTCCTGAAAGCTTGGGAAAAAAAAAAAAAAGGCTCATGGAGGAAAACCACAGTCAAACATAGAACTGTTAATTGCACGAAACATTCTGCAGAATAACCCGGGATGTAGATCATCCTGCAACATAGAGAATCCAGGAATGGGTAGGGTTGGAAGGGAGCTTAAAGCTCATCCACTTCCCTATCCATGGAAGGGATTTTCCATTATCCCAGGTTGCTCCAAGTCTTGTCCAACCTGGACTTCAACACTTCTGGGGATTAAAAGTATTATGAAAGCGCCAAGGATTAAAGTCATACATTTATTTCCAGTGTGGATGTTGGGATCAAGGTGTTGTTGGTGAATCCATGATTCCTGTGGTGGTGTTTTGCTGATGAGCTGGTGAAGCCAGTTCCAAGCACATCAATACCTTTCTGTTACCATCAGCTATACTGGTCCCATTCCTGAAACTTCACCCCTTTTTTCAGGGGCTAAAATGTTGGATATAGGACTTAAGTTGGATGTGGGACCAATGGCCATTGAACTTGATGATCTTAAATGTCTTTTCCAACCTTAAAAATTCCATGATTCTGTCAGAATGTCGGTGAGATCCCCACTGTGCCCATCCACACCTGAATTTCAAGCCTGTTTTTCCATGTTTTTTCTCCTAGGATCCAACTTCCACGATGTAAGGAGCCCCCCAGCCAACAAGGTGATAAAGACGCGCTACAGGATTGTGAAGAAGAACATGGTGCCTCCAGCCTTATCATCCTTCACCAGCCCCATTCCCACCTGGAAAACCAGGCGTCCCATTACATCCAGGTAACTCTGCCATCCCTGGAATGAGCTGGTTGGCATGTGGGAGCCATGGGAACTCCCATGTTGGCTCAGTGTTTTTCTGTCACATCTTCACTGTTTAATTTCTCTTTGTTTGGCCTACTCTGAGTTTATTGACTTAAAGTGTAAAATCATATTAGGAATTGTGTTACCCTGAGCTGGTGCCAGCAGCTTACGCCTTTGGCTTCCTATGTATTCCCTCTTGGAATTAATTATTTCCATGGAGCAGTTAAATAAGCTGAAAAGAGGATGAATAAACGTGTGGATGTTGGTGATGAAGGGGAGCATGCTGAATGCTCCAAACTTCCACTAGGATATAGGTGCTGTCCCAAACTCATTTATTCCCAACTATCTGGATGGGTGAAACATCCAGAAATATTTTGTCACTGCCTAGAGAAGGCACTGAAGGTGCCATAACCTTGAGTTGGAATATTCCTAAATCCTTAGAAGTGGAGATGTTTCCAGGGAGTGTCTCAGAGACCAAGAAAAGACCTGGAGCTTAAAGCAGAAGGGTTGTTAAAATAATCGATTCTTTAGAACAAGGTGCATTTAGAAGCAATGGGTTTGGTGAAAATACAGATTTTGGCTATTTTTAGGTCAGGAATAGCTTGTCTTCCCACTGGAATGTCAGGAGTCATGGGCAGTATTTTGGGCAAAGAAAGTCTGTTCTGCTCTTCTCCGACTTTGTTCTCCCTACTCCAGGTGGATTCCTCCAAAAAGTCATTCCCCAGCAATGCCCTGAGGATTGGTGGCTTTTAGGTAGAGCTGTGGAGGGACAAAAATCGTGGTGATTGTTTTTAAAGCCTGACTTTGCCTGATATTTCCCTTTAAAAGTGAATTTTGGGATTCCCAAATTGGTATCTGAAGGGACGGTTGGTTTTGGAAGAGTTCAGGGTGGTGAAGCAAAGTATGGGATGAAGAGAGTGATTGGTAAAAAAGGTTGGGTCAATTATTTTGTGTATTTTCCAAGCTCTTGGTTGAGAAACTCCTCCTCTCCTGTACTCTACTGGTCTCAAAGTATGAAACCATTCCACTCTTCCAGTATGGAAACTGGGATCCTTTTGGTCTCATGGTCAACCTTACCTACACCACCTCCTCCTTTTTCTTCATATTCTGCTTTTGCCTGTGATATTTTCCCACCTGGGCATCATCCCTGAGATCCACAGGTTTTGTTCTGGGTTACCACCTCCATTTGCACATCCTTGGGATGAAATTCTTGCATTTCCCTGTCCAGAAACAAACCATGTAATTTTTTGCCTGCTTCATCATCCTGCAATTTCATGGAATTACAGGATGTTTAGGTGGGAAGGGACATTTAAGATCCTTGAGTTCCAGCCCCCTGCCATGGGCAGGGACACCTTCCATTACCCCATGTTGCTCCAACCTGGTCTTGTGCACTTCTAGGGATGAGACAGCCACAGCTTCTCTGGGAAACCTGTGCTAGGGCCTTACCACCCTGGAACTGTCCAGGGCCAGGTTGGATGGGGCTTGGAGCAAGCTGGGATAGTAGAAAGTGTCCCTGCCCATGGCAGAGGGTCCCTTCCAACTCAAATGGTTCTGTGACTTTCAGCCTTAATTAACAGAAAACAGCTCCAACATCCTCCAGCTGTTGGGCTCAGCCTCTTCCCTCACACCTTGTTACTCCAGATCTGGATGTTTGATGGATGGAGGATCCATGCTTAGAATCAAGGCAGGGATTAGCTTTGGGCATGGAATTCAGAGCAGGAGTGTCTGGGATCTGTGTGGTGGCTCTTGCTCAACCCAGTAGTGATTTTCCACGGAATGACCTCGTTCTGCTGCGATTGGCTGAGAGCTCCCACTTGTAGGATCATTTTCTCTGTATTAATCTCCGACTTCATTAAATTGGTGTAGTTTAGATCTTACAGCTGCTTCAGACAAATCTTGATAAAATGCCATCAGCAAATTAAAACAATTATGTTTTAAAGAAGCCATAAATCTCCATCTCCCAATTACCTTTGTTGGGGGTGATCAATCATCTGGCCTGTCTGGAGAAAGCACATGGCAAATGCTTCTCCTGGAATTTTTATGGGATTTTTTTGCTTCATCGTTCCTATCTTGGATCTGTCACAAGCAAGACTCCAGGATCTGCTTTTTTCCTGATTTTCTTTGCTCTTCCCAAAACAAGGAGAAGCTCTGACAACTGTGGCACACCCCTTTAGTCACCTCAGTTTTATTTTTCATACTGAGTAGTCAATAATTTTTAATATTTCTGGTTTTCATTGTAATAACTGCAATGTTTTTTCAATAATTTGATATTTTTAATATCCTCATCCCCTTAAGCCAGCAGTGGGATGTCAACTGGTGGTGCTGCCCTCCAGTCCTACTCCCAAACTGGTTCCCAGCTAGCACCAAGGAGCAATTACTTCCATGAAGTCCAGTTTTTTGGGTATCTGGAAGTAATGTGCCAGGGTTTTATTTTGCTGGGACATCCAGGATGTCACCCTTTTTGCCAGTAAATCCTCAAATCACCAGACTAAGATGCAGAGGGATGTGGCTCATTTCAGGAGAAATGAGTGACAGGGAGAGTTGCTGGAGGTACCTGATGTCAGTCCCTTGGGAATGAATTCCATCCTCCCCTTTTTGCTGGGTTGCATAAAACTGGGCCCTGCTGCTGACTTTTCTTTGAGGCGATAGGTGGGAGTATATTTTAAATTAATTTTACTCCACTTTTTGTAATATTTTTGTTTTAAATAGATTTATAAGCAACTCGGGGCCTATTTCTCCAAATTTATGAAGATAATTTTCACTCTCTTGATAAGGTGAAATTTACACCTGCTATTTCCATATTAATTCACATTGCTAAGTGGATCTAATTTTCTTCCGTTCTTCTATCTGGTGAGTGTGGCCTTTCCTAATGCAATTTCCCCCTCACTAAATCACTGTGATCGGGAGTCATGATCGAGTTAAATTAACTTAAATTAATTTACTTAATAAGAGCTCCAGATCATTGTGAATGAGGTTAAGATTTATTGATTCTCCTTTTCACTCCTCCCCCTTATCTCCCGCAGCTTTGCTGGGAGCGCAGCTCACAAGGGCTGTGATTTGCTGGCTTTAAATTTTGGTTGCTCCTGGTGACATTGAGGTTGATCATCTCTTAAAAATCCTGGAGGGAGATGTCCTCTCTCCTCACAGCCTCCCTCTGCCTGGAAAGGGATGAGGGATTTGCCATGGAGGAGTTGGGATGGATGAAATGTTGTGCTGAGATTGGAGAGTGATGCTTCTCCTGCTTCCAACATCTTTCCATGGTCCATGTGGATGTGGCTACCAAAAAAATGGGATGTCCACATGTTATAAACCTTGCACAGAGGCAGCAGAAGACTTCTGGGGTTGGTGGTCAGAGGGATGGACCACCTTTCCTACAAGGAAAGGCTGAGAGGATTGAGATTGTTCAGCCTGGAGAAGAGAAGCTTCAGGGTGACCTCAGTGCAACCTTCCAGTGCCTGAAGGGGCTGACAGGAAAGATGGAGAGGGAATTTTTGTAAGGAGTGACTGGAGAAGGGGGAATGGCTTCTCACTGAAAGTAAGTAGTGTTAGACTGGATATTAGGAAGAAATTCTTCCCTGCGAGGGTGGCGAGGCCCTTGCACAGGTTTCCCAGAGAAGCTGGATCCCCAGGGAAGAGGTCACAAAGCTCTTAGAGCTCAAGGAGCATTTGGACAACACTCTCAGGCACAGGGTGGGATTTTTGAGGTGTCCTGTGCAGGACCAGGAGTTGGACTAGATGATCCTTGTGTGTGTCCCTTCCAACTCAGAATATTCTAGGATTCTATAAACTCCTTCAGGAGACTCCAGTTCTCCCTCTGGAGAGCCAGAGCCACTTTTAAGACATTTTTGGGAGCAGAGAGCCCTTTGAGTTGAGCTTATAGACCCCCAGTGGGGGAATGAAACACTGACCCACTTTGAAGAGTTTTCTTCTCAAATCCTGCTGCAAGTGTGGAAAACAAAAGTCACCTGTCTGCAAATAATGAGTTGTGTCTGGCACTGCTGGGGAAACTCTGATATTTCTTCCTGAAAACTTTGCAGCGCCTCTTGAGGGAGAATCCTACCCCTCCAGCACTATAAATAAGTAAAGAACAAGATAATCCAACATTTGTCAGAGAAATGCCAGCTCAGGAGAAAGGAGCTCGTCAGTGGAGGATTCGCTCATGTAGTTTAGTTTAGTTTTATTTTTTCCTTTTATTTTCTTCTCTTTTGTTCTGTTCCGTGGCCTGGAGCGCATTGAGCAGATTAAGATGGAATCAGTTGTCACCATCACTGGGGGTGTTCAAGAAATGACTGGATGTGAAACTCAGCACTCTGGTCTGGTTGACAGGGTGGTGATTGGTCAAAGTTTGGACTTGATGGTCTTTTCCAGCCTAAATGATTCTGTGATACGGTGATTACAAGGATTTTTCCTGCAGGTTTCAAAGATCTGAAGCCTTTAGGGATTCAAGCTGAAAGATAAAAGAGGATGATGCAGGTTTTGAAATGGGGCTCAGCCACACTGGTGGTGCAATGACCGCTTCCCTGGGAAAGGGGAGGTACAGCTGGGCATCCAAGAGGAGGAGGAACCACCATCCCTTCCAGTTGTCCTCTGCAGGAGGTTGGGATATTGTGTTCCAGGTCACTTGGAAACTCCAGCCTCCTTGTCCCATTCTTTCCTTTCCTTCACAGTGGGTGGTTTTGGGTTTCCAATTTCCTTTTGCTCCCCTGACAACGTCTTTTAGACACCCAGCTCATGATCCAGTTCAAAAAATCATGGAATGGTTTGGCTTAGAAGGGACCTTGGAAGAGCATCTGGTCCAACCCCCCTGCCATAGGCAGAGATGCCTTCCACTAGACCAGGTTTTTCCAATCTCTATCCAGCCTGGCCTTGAACACTTCCATAGGATGGGATGATCCATTCCATGCAGCCCCTGTCATCCATTCCCAGAGAAGCCTTCCTGATTTTCCTTTCCATTTTTCTGGCATTCCTTAAGTGCTGTT